TTGTATGGCCCATTAGAAAGATAATTGCAAAAAATTTTCTCATTTCTGCTGAAGTGACATCCACCCACTTCAACGCCTTATAACTTCTGTCATAATGTTCACGGTGTTGGAGATAGTATGTGTAGTTTCCTGACATAGCGCGTCAAAGAAACTATCTCCAAAATCAGTTCTGCCACTTCAAACACTTGCGTTGCGTCAGATGGAATTTGCTTCACCCCTGGATTTCCAGTAAACTGTCCCAAAGCAGGCGTTTTGTCTACTTTTCCCAATGTGGCTGTCCCCGCAGTGTTGCTACCCGCACATTCGTCAGAACTACGGTCACTTTCACTTTAACTGTCTGTGGTCACAATTTTTTGTTCGCCCCTATCAGATTGTGAGTCACTATCACTAGCAGACTCACAAGGGACGTCAGATAGCTCATCGGAGAAGTCGGATATTTCTTGTTCTCCAAGAAATCGCTTGGGTGTGAACCACTTTGGTCTTTGATCCATACTGAACTACTGACTGACAGCTTGCTACATAAAGCTTGAAGAAATAATGGCATTTATTTTCTTTTGCAGGGGCATAGAGTTACAGCGAGGTCTAGTAACTGATTGGTCAACAGACATTCCAGAGCCTTATAATGCAGCTGCAAGCAGCTACGTGCTAGCTAGGTGGAGCCAGAAAGATGTATAGTGTGTTGCAACTTATCGTGTTTTAAAAACCTGTTAACACACGAACGGTCTGCCATGTTTAAAAGCGAAAAACCTTTTAAAGGGTGCGCGGTCTGCAAAGTGTTAACAATCTAAAACTCTGCATTCTGCCCATACATTGTCTTTCACATGGTTGTCATAATGAACAATTTTTAGCCCTAAATAACATTAACTGGTTGATGTATGCAGTGGAAATGTAATCTTTCCTGTGAAGTATGAACTGAAGGGTTAACATAAAATAGTCTGTATTTTGCTCATCGAGATATATGTTTACTATGATTCTCAAAATAAACAACAATTTTATTTTCTTAAACATCATTAACCAACCAGTCTTTATACTGGAGAGGAAGTGTGTTTGATTACTGCTTGTGTTTCAGAGCTAATCTATTTGATCTCTGTTCCTCTAGAAGTTCCCCAAACCCTTTTGTTCACAAAAACCAAATGGCCCTGAAATGGTGATGGCATCAAAACTAAAAGCCAGATATACAAATAACAGAACAGGGTGACTTCATGTGGTTCAGAAAAGAGAACGAGAGAAAATTAAATATCACCATATTCTGGGGTGTACTTTGAATTACTAATACATATCAGATTTTATTACTGACATTTGACAAATAATGCTGTTATAGTGCATCACACAGTGTCTGAATGTAAGTTGTATTTATACTGCAAATCTGTCGGTTCTAAATATAATTTCATTCTCTGTCTAAGGCATATCACACACAAAGCAATTATATGAATGCATCAGTTGGATTCCCCTGACTGTATGACACACCATGGAAGATTACAATAATATATCTCGGATACTGGTTCTTCTTTATAGAAGTTAAGCCTGTTCAGAGGACAGAATGTCTCTGACCATATGAGGACTAGTTGTTGGAAATCACGTTTGGAGAAGCTGGAGACAGGTCTCTCTGATGGCTGTCTCAAGCATGGTAGTATCTGTATTGTGATGTAGGTTACTTGTCTCCCTACTGAGCTGTATAGGTCTTGGTTATAACTGTTATCAAATTATATAACAGTGAATTCTTGACTAATTGAAGCCGATGGATATCCCAAACATCTGGAAGTATTCACTATCCATGCCTCATCTAGCCCCTAAAGTAGGCCAGTCAAAAAAGCAACATGATAATGAAATAGAAAGTTACAACAGGGCGAGAAGATGCACATTACTGGAATGCATTATTAAATTGCATGTAACAGACAACACTTGTACAATTACGGAAAGCTACAATAACTAAGGGGTTCCAACAAGTCCCATGCTTCATCTGCATGCAGATAACTGAGGGTCTACTGTACTGCTGTGACTGGGGTCATATGTATGTTATGTTTAAATGATAATACCCAAATTATTTTAAAAGCTTACCAAGATGCAACTTCAGATCTGCTGCAGACTGGGCACTTTCAATTGCTTTGCGTTTGTGCATCTCCATGGCCTGCTGTCGTAAGGCCAACTCTTTCTCAACAGTTGCCAGAGAGTTCTGTAGAATGCGCTCCTTCTCCTCCAACTTGCGCACCACTATATTAGTTGCCTCTACTTGTGTTGTAAGGGTGGCCACCTGATACATGAAATCAACATTACCAAAAGCAGGGCATTAAAATCTGATAGTTTTACAGTTTCAGTATATAATACCAAGCAATGAGAAAGACAGGACTGCTTATTTGACATGGACTGAAAAAGACAATGAGGGAAAATTACAGATAATTTTTTCAATGAAAGGTGAAAGACTGGAGAAAGTATATACCATTAAATAATTCCACATGTGTACACACACTCTCTTGTTCAGCTGCTCAAGAAATGCACTGCCTTTTATGGGACCTGAAGACTCACATCCATGTGTAGAAGAACCTGCCATCATTAGTGCCCCAAGTCAGATGAATCCAACCCACATCATCTCACCCTATCTTCACGATACATTTTTAATATTATTCCCATGCATTTCTAGGTCTTCCTTCTGGTCTTTCCTTCATGTTTTCTCAAAATGTGTTGTATGTATTTCTCGACTCTCCAATTCACTGTAGATGTCTTCACCATCTAATTCTCCTGAATTTCATAATGCTGCTAATATGTACATGGCAATGAGCACAACTTATGAAGCTCCTCATTATACATTTTCTCCAGCCTCCTGTTACATCCTCCCTCTTAGGTTCAAATATTTTCCTCAGCATTCTGTTCTCAAACACGCTCAGTACCTGTCCATATATTGTTACTTCTGACTTATATATTTTACTTTTTTCTTCTACACAATTATTATCCAACTCTCTGACATAATGATTATAATTTACCTCTTCTTTCCACTCTTAGCTGCATAAATATAAACTTAAGGGTCACACTGTCCTTCTATTTAAGTCATCTTCTTAATTATAGCTTTACCTGCATGCTTTCCTTTCCATTTAATATGCTATCCTACCTGTTCTTTAAGAACATCCTTCTCCTCTCGTGCCAGCTTATGTAACTGATTAGACTTGATACGCTCAGTCATCAGTTTGAAGTTAGCATCATCTTTCTCGCGTAACTGCTGAATCAGCCTTGAGTTTTGCTCCTGCATATCCTCAAATGCCTGTCCTGTTACTTCCATCTCATTCAGCAAAGCTTCCTCTTCCTAAAACCATATTCACATTCTATGTTAGATTTGCAATAAGAATGAAGCTAGGGGATGCAAATTAGCCAGAAAAAATGTTCTTTCTTTGTGTGTTTATCATCAATATGAATGATAAATGGTTCTGGCTCAATTTACCTAAGACTTGCCAAATGTCATCCTTGGTTCTCATTTCAGCCAGTCTGTAAAGTAGTACAGTGTATTCTTAGACATATATGAAAGTTCTGAAATTTCAATTCAGATAATATCATTCATAAAAACAAAGATTGGACATTTAGTTATCAAAAACATATGTCCAATTGTTTCAAATGTAAACCACTATAAATAATAAACATGTGAGAAACATTCATGAATAAAAACTAATCAACTAAAACTTGCTGGCCACTGTGGGATTCAAATTCAAAATGCCATGGAGAATATCAGCAAATGCACTAATTTTCAGTGATACTTAATTTAAGTCTCTGTAACAGGCAACTACATCAAAGTTGTGGTATCAGAGAAATGCCAAGAGAAATACAGTCTTTTGCAAAAACAGTCAATAAGCAAAAATCGTAACATTGAATTTTATATACCGAATATAATCTTTCCAGTTATGCTATTTACCAAACCATTTTTTTGGTGGGAAAGCCAGAAGGAAAGAGACCACTAGGAAGACCAAGACATAGGTGGGTGGACAATATTAAAATGGATCTTAGAGAGATAGGATCGATCTGGCTGAGGATAGGGATCAGTGGAGGGCTCTTGTGAACATGGTAATGAACCTTCAGGTTCTATAATACACTGGGAAATTCTTGAGTAGCTGCACAATTGGTGGCTTCTCAAGAAAGGCTCAGCTACATGAATGGTATTTTTTGATAGATTCTAAGGGTTCTGATGGTGCATCATACTCAGAATTACTGGGGTTTTGGACTTGGTCCATCATCCAATATTCTAGAAACTAGAAACACAATGTTTCGGAAGCTGAATCTGTATCCACCATCAGGTGAGTGGAGGGGCACCTACTCTGTTGGGTCCCTTAGAAAGAACTAACCTCTTTCTAAGGGACCCAACAGAGGTGTCTTGCCTACCCCCTCACCTGATGATGGAAACAGATCCAGTTTCTGGAACATTGTGTTTTTTGTTTCTAGAATACTGGACGATAGACATAGTCCTAAAACTCTGTAATTAGATGTATTCTTTCATGCACTGCCTTCTTTGGGGGGGGGGGACTTATGAAGCACTATTACACAACTTTAATCCTATTTTGGCTTATTTTTAAAAAGTGCCAGTATTGAATATCACCTAAAAAAAGAGGGCTGTTTTTAGTAATTCTCAACTACACCAATGCATCTGTACCATTCTGCCACACTATTCACAATGACTAAGCAAACTTCGGCCTATTTTACACAACTAAACAGGCTATTTTGGCAAAATGAAGTCTCCAATAAATATCTGAAATTCATGTTTCTGTATATTTCTTCTTCTTAATTGTTGGACCAGAGCAGCACCTTGGAGGTCAATACTGATTTATGAGAGAAAATGGTTAGTTCAACACAGAAATATTTCTCTTTAAATATTTTTATATCTCCCATGGCAGTAATTGCACTGTTTTACCTAAGAAAAAAGCACTAAAATGAGGGCAGATTTCATAGGGGTAGCCTGTAGATGGAGTAATGGTGTTATGGCACTTTGCCTCATGCTTCAAAGTTGAAAATATAGCAAGGCCTGAAAGTCATATTCCTGATATTACACTTGTTAGGTCCCAGTTTCATACTCTCCACCCCAACATCCGAAATGAGCTCAAAAGTTTTCATACTTAACATCCTGGAAGGAGGTGTTTGAAGTGCTGGGCTCTGTGTGACATAACTGCATAAATGTGTTTAGTACCACAGATTAGAAGGGCACTTAGTAGTGTAGTTAGTCAAGACATTATGCTACATGTCAAGATGCCGCAGGTTTGATTATGGATGAGGTCATTAGATCTTTCAATTGACCTAATCCTTCCAGCCATATTATGGAGCTGGAGTCGACTCAGCCTCTAACAGAAATGAGTACCACAAACATTCCTGGGGGTAAAGGGGCAGCCAGTGCGTAAGGTTGACAACCTCACCATTGTTTGTGAGCTGACTGTCTACGAAATGTGCAGTGCTGATTACTACTACTTAAACAGAATTTCATTACTGAATATTGCAGAATGGGGACATTGACTTAATCACATTCATAAGACCTACCGGAGCTGACCCTTTCTGTCTTCATGCATGCTGAATCTCTTTGCTCTATATTCATACATTCTGTGTACTGACATGGCCAGGTCTCACTGATTAAGAACAGCAGCTGTGCAACCAGTTTCAAAAGTTAGTTCTTGCTACATAATCTGGTTGCTTAAACTCATGCACATTATTTTATACAGGCAAAATTTAATCAATCTTGTGGCTGGGCTTGCATATCCCAATGAAACACCAATTTCTTCTGTCAAGCACCTTAACAGTGTGTGAGGACTGACTTCTAAATGTGCCTGAATATCTTAAACATTTTCTTCAGTTAGCATTTTCATCTTGGATTGTTTCTCCTTGTTACAAGCTTAATCCATGTAACACCACTTTCTAACAAGCTTCAAAACACATGAATTTCTTGCAATCCATTCTTGTGGGTATTTATAAGTTAGCCCCTGAATGTCCATTTTGTAAATGTTCTTTCTTCTGTAAGTTAAAGCAAAAGTAGAGTTGTCCCTGTGCTTAATTAAGCACCATGCCATGAACACATATGTGGGAATGGAGGTATAAGCTTTATGCATATTTCAATGGAGGTGAGTGGTCATCTTCACATCCTGCCAGCCCTATGCCTGGAGAACAAGCCCCCCACTATCAACTGGACAGGAGGCTGGGTGGGCCCCTGGGTCCCAGTCTGGATGATGTGCAGTATAGAATATTATTTTCCTCTGCCAGAAATCATAACCCAGTTCCTTGGTCATCCAGTGTGTAGCCTAGTTATGAAAACTCACTGATGAATCATATACTCCTCTGCAAGAGCAATGAATTTCAGACCTGAAGACAGAAAATTCAAGCAGGCAGAAACCTGGATCTGTACTTATCACAGTGTTTGTCAGCTGCGCGAATTATTTCACAATTTTCATTCCTTTGGATTCAATTTGTATTTAAAAATCACAAAACCCTATCCTTTATTAAATGTGCAACTTTCTGTTCAGGGAGAAGGGCAGTAGAAGCTATTAATGCTAAGGCCAGATGTTAACAGATCACTGTATTTGCTTAACTTTTCTTTCACAGGAAAGCAGAATCTTTATTTGGTTATTTAAAGATACCATCAGTATAAAGTGCTGGGAAAGCAATGTCACTGGTGATACTAAGCACAACTACAAATTAATGACAGAATACAAATAGTCTATTTATCTGTTTCAGCAATGTATTTCTTGTAGAAACAAATATAAGTATACAACATATTCACTGAAGTTTACGAATTTATCACGTCAAAATACAAAGTTCCACAAACATTTAAGTGCATAACATTGACATAATCCATGGTTGATATTCTTACGGGCTGAAAGAATGAAGGGGAAAAATATGTACGTCTACGTATCTAGAAATGCTTTTCTAAAGTATCTGCCAAAAAAAATATTTTTGAAGAATCCCACTAATAGATTTGTATTGTATCCCATTTCCTAAACCATTAACATAATTTAATAGAATATTTGTAACAAGACACCCGAAGATGGCTGTTTGTGGTCGAAAAATGTTGTGTCAAAGTGTAAAATGTTAAACTAAAATTAAGATTAAGTGGTGAATAAACAAGTGTTTCAGTATTGATGGACGATAAATATATGGACATTAAGTTATCCTAAACCCTGCTCAGAAAACAAAGCCTCTGTATCACTGTTCAACTAGTCCTGACCCCTCACTTTCCATGAAATGGAGACATTACACTGAAAGTATATGGGAAGTCTTAATATGGAGTCATAACAATTTAAGTCAGAGGCATGCAAAAGAAATGTCCACTCTAAACACACTTATTCATGGTTTAGGAAAAGTTTAAAGCAAATATTTAGGATGTGAATGTACATCCAGTACATTCTTCTGTGTGTTTCTACAACCATAATGAAGTTAAATTTTCTGTTTTAAATAGTTCTGAAAGAATAACATTTTACATAACAATGATCTACAGAAAGAGCTGGAATGTTTTTGGTGATTTCATCTATATTAACTGTCAACACTACATAATCCTAGCCACTGTCTGCGGCATTATTAAATAAATATATTAATTAAAGCCCCTGCTGTTCACTGCTGACTGTGAGTAGATACGGACAAGACGCAACTAGAACTGACAAAAATATAGTCGTGCATACTAAGGCTAGAAATTTGAATCCCACTGTGACATTTCTTCATTCATTAAATGTATACTACTACAGCAAACAAAGAAACAACACAACCTTCATAATTTCACATCAGCTACTGAAATGATGGCAACTCATCATTATAAATATAATTTATGAAGAGTACTATTATCTTGAATGTTTTGTTGTGTAGTCTGATTGCTTGCTGCTTGTCAGGCTGATTAGACCTTGAAGGTCAAAGTAGTATGTTCCTTATCAGCAAACTTCCACCAAACTACAGAGGTAACATCCCAGAAAATATTACTCTTCATAGTCACTGCTGTGAGGAACTTGTTTTCCACAATATACGTTATATTTGCAAATATTAATAATGTATTTATGATACATGTTTTGAAGTTACAACATTCAGAACTTCTTAATATCTGCCAAGACCAGTTTTCTACACTGCCCATTAATAATTTGATGTACTATCCCCATGTTAGGTGGGTCCTCTGACACCACAGCAAGGTGTTTCCTCAGGTTGTGGGTGGAGGAGACACCCTCCAAGTATGGAGGGGAGCAGCGAATATACTGAATAAACAGTAGCAGACAGCCAATAAGGGGTGGTCCTCCAGCTTGGGGGTTAGGCATGAAGCTAAGAACTCCTCACAGTAAAAAATAAGCTTGTTATGAAAATTCT